ATAGCACACAGCCTTCTTCAAACCTTGCACACAACCATTAGGTCGCGTACTATCCCATCGCCCTTGGCAGATCTGGCAACAAAAGTCACGAGAACACCATCAGAGCATATGACAGGCTAGGTACCCCGGTCAAAGAATTATAATGCATTGCTGCCTTCCGTCAATTCCTTTAAGTTTCAGTTTGAATGATTGACTGCGCGGTTTCAGTCATCACTCAATCATCGACTGCCGTGCCAGTCGTAAAGAGTATTTCACTCTTTTGTGCTGAATGGTTGCTCAAGCCAAACAACACTTATCAATGAACCAACATGAACACCTCTCTCAATCGTCTATTGACTGCCGTGCTAGTCTTCAAGATTACCTCACTCTTTTGTGCTGAATGGTTGCCCAAGCCAAACAACACTTATCAATGAACCAACATGAACACCTCTCTCAATCGTCTATTGACTGCCGTGCCAGTCTTCAAGATTACCTCACTCTTTTGTGCTGAATGGTTGCCCAAGCCAAACAACACTTATCAATGAACCAACATGAACACCTCTCTCAATCGTCTATTGACTGCCGTGCCAGTCTTCAAGATTACCTCACTCTTTTGTGCTGAATGGTTGCCCAAGCCAAACAACACTTATCAATGAACCGACATGAACACCTCTCTCAATCGTCTATTGACTGCCGTGCCAGTCTTCAAGATTACCTCACTCTTTCGTGCTGAATGGTTGCCCAAGCCAAACAACACTTATCAATGAACCGACATGAACACCTCTCTCAATCGTCTATTGACTGCCCTCCCAGTCTTCAAGAGTATTTCACTCTTTTGTGCTGAATGGTTGCTCAAGCCAAACAACACTTATCAATGAACCGACATGAACACCTCTCTCAATCGTCTATTGACTGCCCTCCCAGTCTTCAAGAGTATTTCACTCTTTTGTGCTGAATGGTTGCTCAAGCCAAACAACACTTATCAATGAACCGACATGAACACCTCTCTCAATCGTCTATTGACTGCCCTCCCAGTCTTCAAGAGTATTTCACTCTTTTGTGCTGAATGGTTGCTCAAGCCAAACAACACTTATCAATGGACCACCAAGATCTCTATTATCGACTGCTCAGCTCAGTCTTCTCAACATGCATGATCCGTCCCGACGGTGCACATAGCACAAGGCCACATGTCTACGTCATGGAACGATACCACCATGTATACTTCACTCTCATATTTAATCTTTCGGGTTTATATGCTTTGGTGTTTAGATCTGGGGAACCTACACCAACTGGCATGTCTCAGCACACCAGAACAATATCCGTGCTTCAATTGGGTACATGTTTGAATGTCTTGTAATGATCCTTCCGCAGGTTCACCTACGGAAACCTTGTTACGACTTTTACTTCCTCTAAATAGTCAAGTTAGGTCGTCTTCTCGGCATCAGTCGAGCGGCAAAGCCACTGCAACGACACCAATCCAACGGCTTCACTAAACCATTCAATCGGTAGTAGCGACGGGCGGTGTGTACAAAGGGCAGGGACGTAATCAGCGCAAGCTTATGACTTGCACTTACCAGGAATTCCTCGTTCACGGGGAATAATTGCAAGCCCCGATCCCAGTCACGACGGTGATGAAACAGTTTGCCCAACCCTTTCGGGCCAGGTTCCCAGACTCGCTGGCACCGTCATTGTAGCGCACGTGTGGCCCCGGACATCTAAGGGCATCACAGACCTGTTATTGCTCAATTTCGTACGACTTCGATGTGCCGTCTGTCCCTCTAAGAAGTAAAAACTGGCACCGTACCCGCCGGATCACGACCACACTACTCCATAAAGAAGCAATAGAAGCCGCGCCCTGAACGAGCACAGAGGACCAATCTACTATTTAGTAGGTTAAAGTCTCGTTCGTTATCGGAATTAACCAGACAAATCGCTCCACGAACTAAGAACGGCCATGCACCACCATCCACCGAATCAAGAAAGAGCTTTCAATCTGTCAATCCTCACAGTGTCCGGGCCGGGTGAGTTTTCCCGTGTTGAGTCGAATTAAACCGCAGGCTCCACTCCTGGTGGTGCCCTTCCGTCAATTCCTTTAAGTTTCAGCTTTGCAACCATACTTCCCCCGGAGCCCAAAGACTTAAAGGTTTCCCGGGGACTGCCCGCAATGTCAATTATAGAACCATCGCGGATCGTCAGTTGGCATCGTTTATGGTCAGAACTACGACGGTATCTGATCGTCTTCGAAACTCTGACTTTCGCTCCTGATCAATGAAAACATTCTTGGCAAATGCTTTCGCTGTAGTTTGTCTGGCGATGATCCCAGAATTTCACCTCTAACACCGCCATACAAATGCCCCCGTCTGTCCCTCTTAACCATTACTTCGGATCCGAAAACCAACAAAATAGAACCGAAGTCCTATTTCATTATTCCATGCAAGAATTTCTAGGCACAAAGGCCTGCCTTGAGCACTCAAATTTGTTCAAAGTAAAGATGCCGTCCGCTCCCGACACCCGGTTAAAGGCATCCGGAAGCATGCCAACAGATAGCGGGCAAGAAGAACTCACCCATCTCCGTCAGCACCCGTTTACACAGATACGGCTGAAAGGCTGCACAACCACTACACCGAGCCGAACACAAGTTCTGATCGTAACCAAAACCGCGAACAAGCAACGGCATGCGACCGCACAACCCAGGTTCAACTACGAGCTTTTTAACTGCAGCAACTTTAATATACGCTTTTGGAGCTGGAGTTACCGCGGCTGCTGGCACCAGACTTGCCCTCCAATTGGTCCTCGTTAAAGGATTTAAATTGTACTCATTCGAATTACGGAGCCTCAATTGAGTCCCGTATTCGTATTTTTCGTCACTACCTCCCCGTGCCGGGAGTGGGTAATTTTCGCGCCTGCTGCCGTCCTTGGATGTGGTAGCCATTTCTCAGGCTCCCTCTCCGGAATCGAACCCTGATTCCCCGTTACCCGTTATTATCATGGTAGGCAGATCACCTACCAACAAATTGATAGGGCAGACATTTGAAAGATCCGTCGCCGACACAAGGCCGACTGCGATCATTAAAGTTATCCAGAGTCATCACAGAATTCAACAGAGACAGCCGAAACTGCCCCCGGTTGGTTCTGTTCTAATAAATGCACCCGTTCCCTTGCGGGTCAGGGCATAATTGCATGTATTAGCTCTAGAATTACTACAGTTATCCATGTAGCATATATGATCTAAGGAACCATAGCTGATTTAATGAGCCATTCGCGGTTTCACCGTTTTAAGGTATGTACTTAGACATGCATGGCTTAATCTCTGAGACAAGCATATGACTACTGGCAGGATCAACCAGTTTATTCACACCACGATACACCCATTGACTGGGCATTGGTTTTCAGGAGAACCAAACACACGCATCCCCGCCTCTTGCGAGACGAGAACGGCATGCAGGATCAACCTGTGGCGCAACCACTCGAGAGCCCTCTCCCTCGGTGGACCATTCGCACCGTTTGTATACATAGCAATACATAGGTAAGCACTGTTACGCCGACCACTGATCGCGTCAATCAATTAAGCACTGCATAGACAAGCTCAATAGAACCCATCTCGCATACAAGACCTGTCAAACGTATTATTATATGCAAAAGTAGCACGCATAGCGACGCTATAGTGACAATAGGCCCCTATAAACGAAGCCAGCAGCCACCAAATTCAATGAAATCGTTATCCCTGCCAACCAATTTAGCATGCAAATAGCTTCCATACGTCTACCAAGACTATAGAAAACCATAACACAGTCAATAAGCGAGCCATGAGATCAATTTAACCCACGCTCATATCGTCTATATAGCTTATGCTGTGTTTACTATAGGATTTTTAGGGTTATAAGCTAGTAGCCTTGCATCGAGCTTTTGAGGCCTTAGACAAGCTCTAAACCCCTTGATGACAGATACCAAAACTCGTTTCACGACTTCCTCTATCGTTTGGAAGCGTTTTCTAAATTTTCAATTTTTTGAGCTTTGGGACCTGAGTTAGGGGTAGTATCCCTATAATACATATAGAGTTTAACACTACACAGTCCAAAAAATTTTTTTTTGGAATTTAGACCAGTGTTATACATCATTCGATAGCTCTTGATAAATGTAGTCACCTCAGAAAATTTCAGGCAAATCGGTTCGGCCAATTTAAAATTATTTAAATTTTTTTAGTATTTCTCCTATACTTTCTATAGTAAAAAGCGGCAAAAATTGAAATTTTAGAAATTTTTAAATTTCTCTTCAGTGGATGAATATTTTGGCCTAATTCCTTTTGTGCACCACTTTTCAAACGATTCTCTATCGAATGATATATGGCATGATACGGGGTTGTAAAATTTTCATTTTGTGGACTCTGTAGTGTTAAACACCATTTTCGGATTTTTCAATCCAAAATCGTGGACTTAGCCGCAGAACGAAAATCCATACTTTTGGTCATAACTTTTGAACGAATAAATATTTTTCAATGGGGTTTTTTCCATCGTGTAGAGCATAAAAATATCTATCATTAATACCATATACACTTTTGCGCCATCTGCCTTCGTTTCCGAGGAAATTTAATTTTTCATGATTTTTGGCAATTTGGACATAGCCGCAGAACGAAATCCTATATATTTCCTATGGGAGTTTTAAACTTTCCTTCATAACTTTTGAACGAATGAATATTTTTCAATGGGGTTTGTTTTATCGTGTAGATCTCGTGAATATCTACCATTCATACCATATACACTTTTGCCCTATCTGCTTTCGTTTTGGAGATAATTAATTTTGAAAATTTGAAAAATTTGGCCTCATGAAAATCCTATAGGAATCCTATAGGAATTGTGTCACAATTTCAAACTTTTTTCAATAACTTTTGAACGGCTGAACATTTTTCAATGAAGTTTTTTTTATCTTGTAGATCTCGTGAATATCTATCGTTGTATGCCACACACTTGACACCATCTGCCTCCCCCTTCTCTCAAAAAAATTTTTTCCTTAAATTTTGCAGT